CCCTCCCCGTCTCAACTGGATACATCGGACACACACATCTGCAGATAACCTGCACATCTTACAACCCGCGACGCTAAAGGGGATTTTTTATTGTCGGCGTGGAAGTTTCATGTCACGGATATCTGGCAGAGATAAAGCCGGCACCAGGAGCCGACAGCCGGCCGTGAGGGAGCTGGAGGGGTCGGCTAGCATTAGCCTGGAAGAGCCATCCTCAAAACACTCCACAGCGTTGACGCCAAAACCTCTAAAAAAAGGGGGTAAGCTGCTGTGCAAAAATGTGTTATATTTGAAGCTTTCAGTTGAAATAAATGTATATAAATATATCTTCTTCCAACAGGAGGATGACAGTGCTAGCCCGTTAGCTAGGGAGTAGTTTTTGGTAAGACAGAGCAGCCATGGTTAGTTTGTCAGCCATTAATCTGGGTTATGTCTTTGTTTTATATGTCTTTATATGTCTTTGCATGGAGAGCTCACAGGGTTGTTTTGCTGTCATTCCCCAAAACACCCAAACGATAGCTAACCTGCTGTGTGTGTGTGTGTGTGTGTGTGTGTGTGTGTGTGTGTGTGTTGTTTTAATGTCCTCTCTCCTCCACAAACACATATTTTCCTGTGACAGCATGAAGATGGATTGAAGCATGAAGGGTGGAAGTGTCCCATCTTCACAGTAGGAGGACTTCTCTCTTAGGTATGCTTCACAAATTCCTCCTCGTCCTCCTCCTCCTCCTTCTTCATCTCAATCTAATGTTGACAGTCCAAGCAAAACACATCTTAATACCCAATGTTATTGTATTTGACAGTTGAAATTTGCTAAAGATGATTTAATAGGGGGGAGAAAAAAAAAATAAAAGAATGGTTCATGGTTTCACAAGTGTGTTTCCTTTAAAACCACGTTGTTGTGTAATGTGGTGCAACTGGCCAAAACCTTCTGTTAACCCACAGATGTATTATGTGCTGTTGGAGACCCGAGCGTATGTGATATCTTGCCAACCTGCACAACGAGTCGTGCGTTTGTGTTTCAGTATTCAAAGCGAGCTTGTGTCTAGGCCAATGTTTCCCCACTCCCCACATCCTGTGTTGTGAGGAAGCTTCCTCTTTTGTCCTAAAGTGCTTAGCTGCATCCTGATCAGGGTCACAGATCGCAAGAATAGGCTGAATGGATGGCTTGTTCTAAAACTTTTTTTGGACATATTCAATGCTACGCTTCTTTGTCACTGAGGTTTGCTGTTTTCCTTCCTCGTTGACTGTCAATTTCATGCTTTTCTGTCGTAGTCACAGCTCTAAACTTCAACTGGGTGGACATTTTTCCATCAGTTGGAGGATTAATATCAGAATTTCAGAAGGTGTTTTCCTCTCTTTTTCTATCCATTGCTCCTTGTGCTTCATGTAGCCATCGTTCAACCCTAGTTTCACATTTGCAGCAGTGCAAGAAGAGCAGGCCTCCCTTATTCTATCCAAATTACCAGTTCATTTTGGAGCATTTTTTTTAAATCTAAGAAATATGCATAATTAAGTGCTGTCATTTCTGTATGTGAACTCTAATGCAGCTAGTATAGCTGTGTCAGTCTCATCTACGCCTGTTTCTATTTTCATGGCCTTTTTTCTCAAAGGAAGGAAGGTGATGTCCCCTTCCTCAATCATGCCTACGCTCTGATTGGCTCTGTAGTTTCTCCAACCAGGGAAACATCCGTCATAGAGCACCACACCAGACCTATTTGAAGTACTATGAGATGTGGGTGGTGATTCAGAGGCTTAAGGGAAAGGATATTTCTTTTTTTGGGGGGCGGCTTTTATTGCCTTTATTGTAGTGACAGCTGAAGATAGACAGGAAAGGGGTAGAGAGAGAGAGAGAATGACACGCAGCAAAGGGTCGGATTGGAACCCTGGGCCGCTGCAGCAAGGACTCAGCCTCGGTACACGGGTCGCCAGCTCTACTGAGCTAACCTACAGCCCCGGATATGCCACGTAGTGTCCTCCCAGTTACTCAAACCAACTACATATTTCCACAGTCTGGTGCAGGAGGGCATCTTGTCAGGTGCTGTAACCATTGCATCTGATCTGGGACCCAGCATTGTTGTTGGGTGCCTAGACTTCTGGTAGATCTCTATCTATCTGTGGGGATATGAAAGTAATATTGGAATAAAGATATCATGAGGGATTTTCATTATTATATTTTCAGATATTAAATGTTCTTTCCTGGTCTGCATTACAATGACCTCAACCTATTTGTGCTCTAGCTGAGTGAAATGAAACCTGCTTGGCCTCCCTATATCTTTATGCTATATGCTAATGATTAACCAGCAGTTACAAAGGTTAGATAAGATATTCATCCGTTCAAAATGTCCTTGATCCATTCATAAAAGTGTTACAGTTGTGGAGTTTAATGAGTACTGTAATCAGTGCTGGGCTCATTAAGGATTTCATTCTGTCACTTTCACTTTTCTGTCTTATTCTCATAAAGTCATAATACAGTCAAAGTGAGGAAGAACCAAAAAAGTACATGACAGCACAGTGCGGTTTTTAAGGGGTGTGTTTTGTCTTCTAGATTATTATTACTGGCTATGTTTGCTCAAAATATCTTGTTGTACTTGCGATGTTCAGATAATACAGTCTAGACAGCTAATATAATCCAGACAGAGTAGTTTCCACAACTGCAAGAGCTGTTCTAATAAAGAAGAAGAGCAACATAACACATAACACAAGATTTATATTGGGCTAATGAATGACATGATACTAATCATTTTTAGTGTTCTTCTCATCCTGCTTGCATTTCTGAGAATTGTTTATGGCTATATGTTGGCAGAAGGTTGAATTAAGCCATCATGTTGTAATTTTCTTAGAGCCCACACAAACACATTCTTTCCCATCACTGTGTCACAATCCTCAGTTGAGTCATTGTGTTGTTTCTGTGTTTGTGAGTGTTGGACCTGAGCAGTCCGTCTAAAATAGCTAATTCCCAGTAAATTGTGACTGGTTAAAATACAGCTACAGCTTGTCTTTGGTTAATTTCTTGTGAGAAACTGTGTTCACAAATTGAAATATATTTGACAATCGGTGGCCAATATCGTGTACGTAAACAGTACTGTACTCGGTAGAAGTTGGCATTTCATAATTATTTTGTTTGCTAGGTGTGCATCACTTAATGTAATTGTCAAATTTGTGTCAGAATAAAAGTTTTTTCTAATAATATAATTGTCTGAAGGTAGGCGTCAGTCAATAATACCACATGTTGCCAAGGATGGGCAAATATTTCATAGTACTATCTGCTTCAAAAGACGTATTAGTGTATATTCATCTCCTTTAAACAAGAGCAATTAGCAAGGGTGATTGGAAGTGAATGTTTAGAGAGACTAGGCTAACTTTTAGAGGATTGCAGTGCAGTTATCTTACTGTTGGCATGGGTGTGGATGTGTTATAGATGTGGGTTGGGTTCAAGTGTGTCAAGTGTCGAGCTGAGCACTGTTCAGCAAAAGAACCCATCGAAGTGTTAGTGGGGAATGCACTTGTTTAGATTGGATCCGAACAAAAAAAACATGGGTCAACCTGTGATGGATGAACGGCTTGTACACATCTGTCAACCAGTCCTACAGAAGCAAGTACTCTCTGAGGATTGTACCACATGGTGGTGCTGAGTTGTCACCAGCAAATTATATTCCAGACCGAAGTTTTACTTGCTAATTAATGGAGTAGAATTGTTTACAAGATGGTGCTCTAAATATAAGAGATAGCACAGCACTGCTGTTGCAGACACTGAGGCGATTGATCAGACCAAGCATGACTTGATGTTGATATGAATTGACCCTGACCTAAAACATGAGGGAAAAATGTTTATCTTGACAAGAGATTGTTGGACCAAGCAGACCACTGGGATGAAATATGAGTTTAATCTACGTACCAAAAAGAAAAAGCTTTTGGAGTGAGTGCAGCCTGTTAATAAGATACACTATCCCAGTCTTTCTGCCTTGTGGTTGACTGAACCTGCTTGTTTTCTTTAAGGCAGTGAGCACAGCTGAGCCTCAACCGCAGCGAGCAGACAGGACTGTAGCACTATAGCTCATGTTGAGTTAAAAGTCATCAAATTTGTCTTTTAAAAAAGCCAGATCTAGAAAGTAGTTGTTAAATTGGCAAAACTATATTTTTGTTGTTTAATGGAGTTTTTAAGTTGAACCTCACGTTTTCTACTGGGGCTTTAGTTGAGCAGGGGTTTCAGCCAGTGCCTTACACTATGAGGGTCAGAACTTACTTGAAAGTGTTGTTATCTTTCAGGTTGTGCTCTGCAGCTTAACTGTGTGACTGAGCTGGGAGACAGAGAGGAAGATGCCTCCCAGGCCGTCCTCAGGGGAGCTATGGGGCATCCACTTGATGCCTCCCAGGTACGACACTGGATTTTATTGTGGATACCAATGCATTTTGTATTTTTCAATGTATACACATACATTTTCTTTATATATATGTTCCAAAATGTATTTATTGTTATTATATTATTTAGTATATATTTATATACCCTTTATTGAATTTTATAAATTCTGTGAATTGCCCAAAGAGGGTATAGTAAGAGCAAAGTAAGTAAGTCATCAACACTGTATAACGGTGCTGAGTTTGACGGCAGGATCCTGGTGGACTGCCTGCTTCCCAATGGGATGATTCTGACCCTGGAGTGTCTCCGTGAGGCCACGCTCATCACCATCAAACATGAGCTGTTCAAAGAAGCCAGGAAACATCCCCTCCATCATCTCCTACAGGAGGAGACGTCGTACATCTTTGTCAGTGTTACACAGGTAAGAACTCTCAATCTTTATTGTAATATCTGGCAGGCAGAGCTATCCATCCAAATGAGTAAACATAATGGAAATCTATTATTGAAAGTTTGATAGAATGACCCCCTGACAGCTGTTTATAAAGGAGAACAGCTGCTAAAAGGAATAGATCTTTGGACTTATCAGATTCTGTATTTTAAAAATAGTATAATATTTTGCTGCTCCCTGAAAATTACAGGGAAACGCTACCTCCACTTTGTGTGAATGGAAGGCTACATCTTCATGCATCTCTACAAAACTGAACACATTTAGCCCTCGAAAATACTACCTGTACTTAAAATCGCACCAACCATCAGTTCTACACTTGCAGGAAGGCCATGAGCTCTTGTAGCTATTCACCTTTAATGAAAAAGAAAGTGAAATAGTTTGAACACAGCCTCTTATTTTTTTTTTTTCTTGCCTGCAGGAAGCAGAGCGGGAGGAGTTCTACGATGAGACCCGGAGGCTGTGTGACCTCCGACTCTTCCAGCCTTTCCTCAAGGTCATTGAACCAGTTGGCAACAGAGAGGAAAAAATCCTCAACAGAGAGATTGGTGAGAGGTTCTCCTCCTCTGATAACGTTGGTTCTGTTGTAGCTTTGGTTTGTTTTTGGGTTATTACTTTTGTTGGTTAAAAAAAGTAAATCAATATATATGTGTCAGAGTAGCAAAAAGTTGGTAAATCTTAAGAGAATAATTATTATTTAATTTACTAGATACTTTATAGTTAATCTAAATAGTTTTAAGAAATACAAAAGACAAAAGAATATTTCTGTAACTTACTAGCTTTCTTTAGTTCAGCTAAACAGCAAACTAAGTAGATTATTTGATGGATCTACAAGTTAAGTTGGGAATGAAAAAGCCCACCCAAGCTATGTTTGAGATCATTTTGAGCTTGATGTAATAAAGCACATTTACACTTTCTTTTGGATTATTGTCTTGTTTGTTTTAGAAAACTATAGTCGATGTAGCAGGAAAACATCATTTTACTACATCTCTAAATGACCAATCTAGCCAAAAATGCCTTTAAGAGATTAAAAACACTGTCCCTGCTTTCTATTCTGTCAGGTTTTGCCATTGGTATGCCTGTGTGTGAGTTTGACCTCGTGAAGGACCCCGAGGTTCAGGACTTCAGGAGAAACATCCTGAATGTTTGTAAAGACTCTGTGGAGCTGAGAGATGCCAGCGGGCCCCACAGTAGAGCGCTGTATGTTTACCCACCCAATGTAGAATCCACACAGGAACTTCCTAAACACATCTATAGCAAACTGGACAAAGGTAAGCAATAGCTTGAGTCTAATTTATTTCATTGTGGAATCTGATTAATTTTTTGAGAAAATAAAACCCCAAAAAGCCATTGAAGACAACAGGAGGCCGAAAGGGAGCAAGAAGTAAAGATATTAGCCTCCAATCAATACTATCAATACTACTAGCCTGCCTTTACTAAATGTAGGAACTACAGTAATGAGCACATTGATCAATGATTTGATTGAAATGCTATTAGTGTGATGCTATTGTATTCAAATAATACTAGAAAGGAAGCACAATACCCTCAGACTCCAGAATAAAAAGGTAGGTATTGTTCCCAGTCTTAAGTAAAATTGGATTTATTGACTCTTTTTCTAATTTGTTGTCTCTTCTGTCTGTCTCCTTTACAGGTCAGATTATTGTTGTGATTTGGGTGATTGTTTCTCCGAACAATGACAAACAAAAGTATACATTGAAGATCAACCACGACTGTGTGCCAGAACAGGTGGGGTGAATATGCACTAAAATGAAGAGACAATGGATCAGTCACGAGCCCCGCTGTTTTAAATTCGGTGAGAGGAAATTGAAGGGTGTCTAACGCAGGTTGTCTGCGTGTGTATGTCTTAAAGGTGATTGCAGAAGCCATTCGGAAGAAAACTCGCAGCATGCTGCTGTCCCCAGAGCAGCTGAAGATGTGTGTTCAGGAATATCAGGGTAAATACATCCTCAAAGTTTGTGGCTGCGATGAGTACCTGCTGGAAAAGTACCCCATCAGCCAGTATAAGGTAAGAGACATACAGGCAAAGATCTATTTAGGGCACCCCCAGTTCGTGGAAAAAATAAAATAAAACCTTAAAGTAGTAAATACTTAGACCACAGACCCCCAATTTTGAGAGGATATTGTCTTAAGATTCTTTATATTTAGGTTTCATGATTATGACGTTTTCATAGTCAATCAGTGATCAAATTGGGATCACTATAAATCACAATCAATAAAAACAGTCAACCTTATTTCTTCCATTGTTGTTCCAGCTTCCAAAAAATGGGATAAAAGTTAAACTATTCTATTCCTCCTTTTGCTGGGGAAGCCATACTACCTACTCAATGACCCCTGCTGGTTCCCACATTTGTTTAAGAAAGTGTCAACATTGCTGGTATGAAAAGTTGAGTGTCTACTATGCATTTCTGCAACGTTGCGTAATGGATATGTCTTCGTCTAATCTGCCTTTAATAAATCTGTATAGGGAAATAGCTAAACGCCTGATCCATCTCAGAACTTTAATTTATTGTAACCACTGTGAAAACAACACTGCCTTTTATTAAAACACTGGAACCATTTTGTCATGCACAGTGATGTGAGCCAATGCTCAGAGCGGAGAAATTCCATGTGAGCCAGATCAAGGTAGAAGATGCACAAAGTGTCAGTGTTTGCTCATAAAGTCCTTCAGCGACTGCTGGAAAATGAACAATTGGCATAATTGAATACACTTACGCACGGTGTAACTCTAGCAGCTTTGTGTACTTTCGTTCTAACTATCCTCCTTTGTGTCATTCCCTGTCTGTCTCTCCCTCTAGTATATCCGTAGTTGCATCATGCTGGGCAGGATGCCTAACCTGATGCTAATGGCTAAGGACAGCTTGTACACCCAGTTGCCTACAGATAACTTTGTCATGCCATCATACTCTCGCCGCATCTCCACGGCAACGTCCTATATGAATGGCGAGGCTGCTGCCAAGTCGCTGTGGACCATCAACGGGACTCTGCGAATACGAATCCTCTGTGCCACCTATGTTAATGTCAATATACGGGACATAGACAAGGTGGGGACGAACAGTGCTTACTGGAATATGCTAGTTTCTCTATTCTTACATTCGTGGTAGGACTAGAATTGGCCAAACTGAGAGGAATTCTCTTTAAGTAATGAAAAGAAAGTGAATGGTGTTTTATTGTAATTTTTTTGCTGATCCATGAATAGAAATAAATACATTGAATGTAATTTAAGATTTTGTTTTTGAACAATATCAGTTGACAGTTTTTCTAGTTGTGCACATCGCCCAATCTTCCACCTCCCCCCACTTCCTGTGGAAACAAACACTCATTGTCCAGGTCTCATGTGAACAGAGATCTTTACCAAGAGAAAGTAGTTCTGGTTGTTCATGTTCGTGTGCTCAGTTGTCATGAATCATTTGTGTAAGTCATCACAAACCTGCATGACTGCATACCATTTAAACATAATGATAATTTAACATGACTGCTGTTACACTATTAATGTGTACCTCTGAGATAAGATGTCCAACAGGCCAATCTCTTGTTATCCCATTGTTATAGTGAAGATACATTCTTTTATTAATGTTTTCTTTCTTTTTTGCATTTTGCTTCTGCTGTATAATTATAGATATATGTGAGAACAGGGATTTACCATGGAGGTGAACAGATGTGTGACAATGTCAACACACAGAGAGTACCCTGCTCTAACCCCAGGTAACTGTCCACCAGTCATTACAATAACTTTACATCCAGCAGTCTATAGTATAGTATATATATATAGTATAATAATAACTTTATTATGTGAAGGGCTTTTCTTGATATAGTTGTGTGCTTTAACAAAAAATGTGAGAGTAATTATACAGTGAAAAATAAAACCATAAAAAATAATTATGGTAGCCAGTAATGGAAATGACTACTACTCTAATTCACTTTCTCTTTATTTCACTTAGCTAGTGCTTTAGACAATTTACCTCTAATTTACTTTAAGCAGTCTAAAGCAGGAGGGTAAAGTTAACAGTTTAGTGCTGGCTAGTAACACTAAACTGCTGTATTAGATTACTGTTAAACCTAAGCCTCGGACCACTCGTATACCTCTGGAGAGTTAAAAGGGATACTACCTGTACTTTATATGCCTGGTAGAACAGCCTTCATTTTAAAGTAGTTTTGGCATTGAGGAATCTTTTGCTATGTGTCACTTTCTAAATTGTGTTGCTGAAAAGCATAGCTCAGGTGTAAGTGTAAGGTGTAAGGTTTCTGAGCATTCAGTTTTCTGCCATTGGTAGCACTTTGTGTGTAGTGGCACAGCTCTCTCCCTTTATACCTATATCAGAGGTTATTTCTGGTTCTTTTTGTTGGTCTCAGTCTCATAAATGATCTCTATATCTCTTTCATTCTTTATCTACAGGTGGAATGAGTGGCTTACGTATGATATGTACATCCCAGACATCCCTCGTGCTGCCAGACTCTGCCTCTCCATCTGCTCTGTCAAGGGCAGGAAGGGAGCCAAGGAGGTAAGACAGAAAGCGGTGAAGGAAATGACTACACAGTGCAACTTAAGTTGACAGGAAGTTGGACATGCAAAAACAGGAAGTGTTTAACTAGGCCATTTAGAGATCACTGCTACATTTCATAACAGAAAATGCAGCAATATTACAATTGAAATAAATTGTATATATCTGTGAATAGTGAAAATTTAATTTTGTGATGTAAAACACAAAATAATCTAGAACAGGGCACAACAAGCCAAATATGAGCTCATGTTAGCCAAAGGAAAGTAATACCTGATCATGCAAATGCCAATAGCATTGTGCAATATTACAGATAGACCGACAGTGCTACAGTTGTTACAGTCTAAAGATAGCAGAGAGCAGATGACCTTCATGTGTCTAAATCTTTTAACAGTGGCATGTTAACCCATCCTGGAGGGACTTATATGGTATAGGTACTGTTTCTATGTGTGTGTGTGTGTGTTTCTGTGTCTGTTAGCATGTTCTTGTATTGGTACGTGAACCACGTGAGTCTGTCTGAGTATATGTGTCCAAGGTGAATGGGAGCTGTGGTATCGTCTTTGGCTCTGTTTAATTACTAATCAGCCATGGGCACTGTGGTGGCAGAAAACATCAACAGAAACACAATTAGCACAAGGGACTTTTCCATTCATGTTAGACTAATACGTGTGTTCTCGGGCCATACTGATGTTGTGAAAGGGGCTAATTGTTTTATCTCAAACCCATATCGAAGTAATTGAACTTAAGACTTTGAGAGCAAAAAAATTGAATACTTAGACAAAGCAAAATCCAAATTAATGCTGCAAAGTAAAGCAAATTAATACAATGCATGTAAAACTTTAAAAGGGTAATTCTTTTTGATATCAAAAAAGCATTTGTGTAGCATAATATTAACATTTTCTAGGTACTTACATCAGATTTACAATAAAAGAATGGCTGTATATTTTACTCTATGTTTAGAAACCATGAGGTGTAAAACTGGGAGAGTGTCAGTGTGTTTGTGCAATGTGTATGATACTTGTAACAGACACCCACACTGATTGATTTTTCTTCTCTTGTGGAAAAGCTGGAAGAGAGAGGTGTGTGTGTGTGTGCGTGTGCGTGTGAGAGAGTGTGGAGTGTATCAATGAATGCCAGACATGGATATTGTAACAGACACCTGGGGTGAGGCCTGTCCCATACTGTGCCATGCTAGGTGGAGGTCAGGTTAGCGGATGCTCTTTCATGCCCCACTTGAATTAAAGATAAACACTTCTCTACAGCAGCCTTTTGTGCCAGCACTTACTATAAATAGGTGCATTTTGACTGGCTGTCTGCATGTAACTCTGTCTGCCTCACCATGCTGCCCTTTGTCACCTGGTTCCATCGCTGCCCCTTAGTAAAGACTCACCGTGAAGATCGAGATGTTATCTTAAACATTTCCTTAGACTTTTACTGTTCCTTGTGCCATTATCAATAGTCTCCCAATCATCCAGTGCCAGTACTACATATAACATACATAACAAATCATAGGCTGTGCTGTCATACACAGCACCAGAAGACAGCCAGCCACATTTAATAGCACTTAACCTTTCAGCATGAAGAGTGTAGGCATGGCATTCCATCTATTACTGTATCTGAGCTTCTTAAAAGCCTTTAAAATCAATCAAAATCAATTATACGTTAAGGTCTAATTTACCAACATCATAGTGACCCAGTTGAACCTTTTAAGACCCATTAAAATCTGTTTGAAACTCGATCTAACTAATCTCTGTTAGAGCATTAGCATGCTGCAAACCAACTCATTGAAGGCATGTAACACCCACTAAAGAACATCTCCTGTATCTGCTTAACAGAAAACCTAACCAACGGAATAGAGAAAACACTCAGCGGTCCCGACCAGTCAAGAGTTTCATCAGAATGAGCAGGGTTTAATGATTTTTAATAACTCCACTAAGTCTCTGGCAATGTTACATCTCAACGGGTTTAGAGACATGGAGTGATTTTGGCTAAGCTGTAAATGTGAACCTGTGGCTAAATTATCTTTTTGTTTTTATTATAACCACTGATTATTGGATGATTGAGCTGTATCATGTTGTATTGTATATAGATATAAACATTAGAGGTAGTGCTTTTAATGTGTCCTCAGCATAATGGAACCTTAATGAGATTACATACCTCTAAACTGTGAGTCCCAGAATATGTTGGCGTTAGAATTATGCACCATCTGTGTTTATGTTTGTATTTTTTCCCATGAGCTTTTCACATTGAGTCTAATTACATTTGTAATCGGTGCCTTTCTCTGTTTCTTTGCTCGACTCTGTTTAGGAGCACTGCCCACTAGCTTGGGGTAATATCAACTTGTTTGACTACACTCACACTCTGGTGGCTAACAAAATGGCTCTGAACCTCTGGCCTGTCCCTCATGGCCTTGAAGACCTCCTCAACGCCATAGGAGTCACTGGATCCAACCCAAATAAGGTATTCAGATTCGATTATTTTGCTCCATTTCAAGAAAGTAACAGGTTTCCAAAAAACAGATATTAATTATATACTTTTAACCCATGTTCCAGGAAACCCCATGTCTGGAGCTGGAGTTTGACCACTTTAGTAGTCCAGTCAAGTACCCAGATATGAATGCAATAGAGGATCATGCCAACTGGACCATCTCGAGGGAACTGGGGTTTAACTACAACCTTTCTGGACAGGTAATAACCTGCTTACCAGCCAGTTACAGTTTTTGAAAATGTATTTACTTGTGTTAACCCACACACCACGCACTCCAGAACTATAATTACTTGCGATGTCTTACATAACACACATATCACATTATTTACTAGCATCACAAATAATTTAGCAGATTGTGTCATTACATGTAATGCATTCAACAAGGATACAGCAATCACTGTCAAAATATCTCACTCTGCTAAGGAGTCTAATGAAAGGTGAAATTCATCCCTTCTTCTCTAAGTGGCTCTATATGTTTTGAAAGTGCTCTTAAACTTCTACAACTTCACACCTACAAACTCCCTTCTGGTCATTTGAGATGCTACCTTAACAGACGTTTCTTTACTTTTGTTTAAGTTTTAAAAGGTTAACACCAAACCCTGTTCTTGGGTGAAAGAACAGGGTTTGGTGTTATTTAATCTTTTGTGTATATATTATATGTGATTGTTTATAAGACACAGCAGTGCTAATTGGTTGGTTAAATATACTGTTAGGTGTCAATGAATGTTGTTAGCGCTTGTCAGTTTATGTCAGATATTTTATTTATTGAAAAGGATGATATGATTAAATTTAGGTCAAAATGTGATAAATGTGGTTAATTTTCACCCCAACAATTAGCTATGAACATCCGTTGTTTATGTATATCTTGTTAACTGAGTTGCTCCCAGTACTTTTCATGGTATTCGGCAGTGCCACTGGCAGCTATTGTGTTCAGTTATTCATGATGGTGTTGGTGTTGGTGTCTTATCAGATTTCTGCATGATGTGTGGTAAGAGAACCATGACTTCTGACAATGTGACTTGTGGTTGGAGTTACTCCGCCATGTGAGAGGATGTGAACAGCGTGAAACGATGTGTTAAGTTATTAACGATGTGTGTGCTATATTTGAGGAGTGCAGTACATGGTGTGATGATAATTTCATACTGACCAGAAAAAATGTTTGATCTTATTTCATATTCACACAGTCAGACACTGACAGCCTTGATTTGGTTAAGGAGGACGATTGGGCAGCGGAAAACAGAACTTTCCTTCAGTTGTTTTGCTCTTTTTGCTCTTCAGGATTTGAGGGCATTTTCAGGCATTGTTTGTCATTGTTTTATAAGCATACACATTTGCAGCTGATATAGATGTGTTTTGGCTTTGTTGAGTATGACAACCTTTTGTTGCTTCCACAGCATCTCTGTCATTTTAAATGTCACTATAGCCCATCTCACAGCACAGCACTGTATTTATGTTTATTTTGTCTGGCGATATTGTGATCGTAAAATAATGACTTTATCTGCAGCTCAGCAGCTCGGTAATGACTGCTGGTTAATATAGTATTCATGAGCCGTGGTCAGATTTCATACTCATTCCGACGACAGAAAGAGAAAAGATATTTAAATGAAAACAATTAGACTGTGAATTTGGCTGCTTTAAAACACAGTGACGGTGAGCACAGAGCGCAGGAGGGAACAGAATGGAAGTTTAACAGGCCGTGTCACTTACTGTAAACAGGAAATACTAGTTGTCAACAAAGGAAATGCATCATTAAAAATTGATTTCCAGTCAACAGCCAGTAAATAGAGGCATTTGCATACATTTCCAACTAAATGTCACGCTTTAGAGACGCGAGCTACTGACCTGGATGATGCTTTTAACACGGCGTGAACACAGCATCTCATTTTGCCGACTATTAACATTATTTCACGCTCCAGGTTGTCCTCAAAAATGACTTTGTGAAGGAAACCCTACGCTTATACAATGTGAGAGTTAATTGGTAATGCAAGCAGGACTACTGCGGCTGTGGTTATCTAAGTTCATTATAACTTCTGCACTGATTTAAAACTTCCTTTTAAACTCTAGGTCAGAACTATGGTGGACTTTGTGGAATAAATTAAAATTATAGTACAGTGGACAGTTAGATTCCTGTAAATGAGGATGAGGATTTTCAGCGAATAGATTTATTTTTAATGTGGCATGTTGTTGCATCAGATACTCTGCGATGCAAGAGAACTGGACCATTCAGTGTTGATTTATTAATGAGGATAGTGTAATGTGGCGTATTAAGTAAATCCTTTATCTGTAACTTGAGTTGTTTGAGAAGCTTACAGCCTAACAGTAATGGGTCTTAATGGATTACAACTGTTCCAGGCTATATTTGTTGCATGTAATGTCTGCATGGTCGAATGTAAACATTTGTTAGATTACTAGTATAAAGATACAAACAAATGTATTGTACTTAGATACGATAAAAGAGGTTAATGATAAAACACTTGTGTTTACCTTGTTACACTGTGTGTCATTACAGAGTAAATGTGCAGAGAGATCAGGGTCTCGTACAGTAACTTCACAGCCATTTAATTATGGTGTTAGTAGTGTAATAATGCAGCGTTTAAAGTATTTTATTTCTGTTGTGTTTCAGAGCAACCGTGTGGCCAGAGATCACGCCCTGACAGAAAGCGACACCGAGCAGCTGAGACAGCTCAGTAACAGAGACCCTCTTTCAGAAATCACTGAGCAGGAGAAAGACTTCCTCTGGAGACACAGGTAACCTCCCAACCAGCAAATATAAAACAATACTACTTCATCATATAGCAATAAAAGTACTGCTTTATGTAGAATGGCGTAGATTTCACATGTTGTATGTAAATTTACTGTTAGTTGCATAGCAACCAGATTCAATAAAAGCTTATTCTTTTAGGTTCATGGCTGAAACTTTTTATACTTTTTGTTTAAAAACATAAACAAATTCTGCGTGCTGAATATGTGTGGTAACACAATTTTGTTTTAACCTTGTATGCAGGATGTAGACTCCGTATGTAAAAACCATTTCTTTTTCTCAACAGGCACTACTGCATGAACATCCCTGAGATCCTTCCCAAGATCCTTCTCGCTGTCAAATGGAACTCCAGAGATGAAGTAGCACAGGTAATGAAAGGCCATGTCATACCCTCCCTTTGATATTAACACTCTTATATATTTGATCTGTGTCTGATAAACAAGAAGGAGGAGTTAAAGAAAGATTTACACAGTTATCTGTTCCACAAAGTACTTTTAATTGGATTTGGAAAAATGGAAATAGAAAAATCCAGTTCAATAGTTTGAACGTATACTTCCACAAAAAGATATACCCTAATGCACATACACTGAGTTTTGATGTAACTTTGCTACCTAGCTGTAGCTGGTGAAATCACAAACTTGCAGCGGGACTGCAAAGAATATAATTTTGTTTAATATGTTTCTTTGTATTTTCTTGATAAACTGCTCAATTGTAATTATGTAATATAAGGTATATATACTGTATATGTAGAGGGCTTTATAACGAGTATTAATTCATATTTCTTGGTTTGTGCGTTTTCTAGATGTACTGTCTGTTGAAGGAATGGCCGTCTATCCGTCCTGAGCAGGCCATGGAGCTGTTGGACTGTAATTATCCAGACCCCATGGTCCGGCACTTTGCTGTACGCTGCCTTGACAAATACCTGACTGATGACAAACTGTCCCAGTACCTCATTCAGCTCGTACAGGTTAGTCTAACAGAGAGTTGTGCCTCTTAAATTCAAGGAACTGATTGACGAAAGAATGCGGTAGAAAGGAAGACACTGAGGAACAAAGAGTGCTATGACTCAAGTGGACTATGGAGTACTTTTCTCTCAGCCACTCTCATTGTCCTTGGCTGCCAGTAACTCATACTGGTTAGAAAGCAGCTTTTGTTTGGCCTGTTCTTGTATGTTAAGTCTTTCCGGTTTGTGATGCCTTAGGTTGTATTTGGTACTTGTTGTACAGAGAGAGGAAACACAGTAGAGTCTAAAAAAAATGACTAATCTGAACCTTATCTCTGCATCTCCACTTGTTCTTTTCTTCCAATCTTCTCTTCCTCTGTCTTCTCTTGTTCTAGGTATTAAAATATGAGCAGTATCTTGACAATCCTCTGGCCCGTTTTCTCCTTAAAAAGGCCCTGACCAATCAAAGGATAGGACATTTCTTCTTCTGGCATCTCAAGTGAGTCACCATCCAGATTCCTTTTTCTTCATGTTTATGTATCTTCCTTTCTCTGGGTCTTTCTAGAGAGCTAAAAACACATCTTGCCTCCCGGCTTCTCACTCTCTGACTCCCTCTTTTCTCTTTGTGGCTTCCTCACAGGTCAGAAATGCACAATAAAACAGTGAGCCAGAGGTTTGGGCTGCTGTTAGAGGCTTACTGCAGGGCTTGTGGCATGTACCTCAAACACCTGAGCAGGCAGGTAGAAGCCATGGAGAAGCTCATTAACCTCACTGACATCCTTAAACAGGAGAAGAAGGATGAGACGCAGAAGGTAAGGAGGGCGACAGCACGCATACATACACTTATACATACGCACACAGGAAACGTGATATTTATGTTCAAGTTTTTAAGACTTAAATCTCAAAATTGGTATAAATTTTGTGGGGAAAATTGTGGTGATGCTGGCATTTATTTTAATCATACAAACAAGAGCATTAAAGGTCCTGTGTGTAGGATTCAGTGGCATCTAGGGGTGTGATTAAAGTGCGGTTCAATATGACAACATCTGTGGAAGAGGACATGCTCCCCCTGTAGATAAAAACATTCTAAGGTATTAAAAACACAACAATTCTTATTTTCAGACTGTACACTAACGAAAACATACCTTTAAATATTACATTACATTTCTGCCAATAGATTCCTCCTAAAGGTTACACACTGGACCTTTAATGTTTCAACAGCCTCACCATTCACAGTTTGTACTATCACAATCTGAGCAGAACAGGATTTTATTTATTTAGATTTTGTCACAACTCTTAATGTGTAACATTCGCATCACTATTGTGTTGTTAGTCAGTCGATGTGGTTCTTTTATCAGTGGATTGTGCAGTTAATTGACCCCCACCACGCATAGCCTTTTTTATATTAAAATATCCTATTAAACAACCAGATTTTACGTTGGATCTGTGTTGCTCAGTCTTAAAATTAGATTAAATCTTAGAACAACTTATGTGTTTGTTTATTTTATAATTTACCCTTAGAGTTGTAACACCACGTAAATGCAGCCCTTTTTAGAAGATTCTGTTTGTGGATGCATGTGTTTGCGGGTGCGTGCACACATATTTATATGTGTGTTGTGGTTGTGTGTGTGTCTTGTGGAGGTCCAGATGCGGTTTCTTGTGGACCAGATGAAGAGACCGGACTACATGGATGCTCTGCAGAACTTCACCTCCCCTCTCAACCCTGCACACCAACTGGGAAATCTGAGGTCGGTAGCAATAGTGAATGAGCTTGTGTGTGTGTGTGTGTTTTGTGGTGTGTTGTGTTGTGTGTGTGTGTGTGTGTGTGTTTGTTTGTGTTGTGTGGTGTGTGTTGTTGTGTTGTTGTGTGTGTGTGTGTGTGTAAATAAGTGGGGTTGGGGGAAAAAAAGACATTGTTTAAAAGACTTGAATTAATTTGTTCACAGGCTAGATGAATGCAGGATCATGTCATCGGCTAAGAGACCGTTGTGGCTCAACTGGGAGAATCCTGACATCATGTCCGAGCTGCTCTTTCAGAACAATGAGATAATCTTCAAAAATGGAGACGGTAACACACACACACACACACACTCATTGTTTTTCTCTGTTGGCTCTTGAGGGTATGGGAACTGTTCCAGAACATTTCTGTCCTCTCAACACACGTGCTAGAAATCAGTCTGTAACGACAAATCTAAAACAATATGTATTTAAATTGATGTCGTAGCATTTAAGTTAGTCATTGCCAAATAAATAGTGATACTTGAATGATAAATACCAGGAATTTGAAGGATGGGAAAAAGATTTGGGCTTACACTTTGATGTATTGAGTTTTTTTCTCCTACTGCTACCTTCATGTGTCATTGAGATAAACTCTGAAAGCTGTAGCTCTGTTTTGATTTGTGTTACGAATGGATGCAGCAGATTTCCCGGCCTCAATCCTAAATGTTGACACAAACTGTAAAGTGCTGTTTAAAGGCTGCAAAGCTTCTTGTTAATCATACTTACTCACCCTTGTGTTGTGTATGTGTATAGTCTGTCAGTATCACAATGCCTTCATTGTGTGTGTTTTTGTGTTGTAGACTTGCGGCAGGATATGCTGACGTTGCAGATTATTAAAATCATGGAGAATATTTGGCAGAATCAGGGACTGGACCTTCGGTACTACTCTCTCTCCTATGTCTCTTTCTCTTTCTCTCTGAATCTTTCTGCTTCAGTCCTTTTTCTCTAACTCCTTCCGTCCTCGGTGCATGGGGCTAAGCCAATCTGTTTTGTTTGTCTCCAGGATGCTTCCCTATGGCTGTCTGTCATTAGGAGACTGTGTGGGTCTCATTGAAGTGGTTCGCAGCTCCCACACCATCATGCAGATTCAGTGTAAAGGAGGCTTGAAAGGAGCCCTGCAGTTCAACTCAAACACTCTGCATCAGTGGCTCAAGGACAAGAACAAGGGCGAGATGTGAGTTCTTCTCTCCTGATGACATTTTTACAGCTTCTTCGCAACATTAGACAGTACAGAACAATGTCCATTAGAGTATCTCTAGTAAAAGAAATGTCTTCGGGAAAATCTGGTGTTGTTTAGAGTTACGGCTCATTTACTTCTGCCTGCCTTTAGTTTCATGTACTTGCTTTGTTTAATTAGAATTTAAACACATTCTCATTTCTAGTTTCTTCCGAAAATGCAAAACTAATGGTGTCACTGCTTACTGGCGTGTGTTTGTGTGTGTTTGTGCAGGTATGACATGGCTGTGGATCTGTTTACAAGGTCCTGTGCTGGCTACTGTGTAGCTACATTTATCCTCGGAATAGGAGACAGGCACAACAGCAACATTATGGTCAAAGATGATGGACAGGTAACTTGTATAATGCACATACACTGCACACAGTTTTGGTCAAGTATGGACAGGTTACAATATGCACATATGCTATACTTACACAATACACAATATACTACACAATTTGAGAGATTAACTCTCTTTGAAGATCTGATAAAGATCTTTGTATCTGTAATAACCAAATTATTCATATATAATGAAATCGCACCCACACGTGCAAGGCAACTGGAACTACATTTTTATGCTCCTTCCCATATTAATGTTGCTCATTTACCTCCATAATCTTGTTCTAGTTATTCATGAAGTTTTACTTTTCACTTGTTCCAAAAAGTATTCATAATTTTCTTGCTGTCCTTGTGTCTTTCTCTGTTTCTGTTGTAGAAATTGATTTTATTAGTACATTAGGCTGGTAGTCATTTGTTATTGACAGGTACGTATTTGATAAAATGGATAACTTTAAGTGAATGCTAAGCAGACTGACTGGCTGTGTCTGTAAATCTAGTAAAGCTAATCTGTCAAAAACTTTATATTGTTGATGAAAGATTGGTGCCTTGTGTTTTCCTGTGGGTATTCACGTTTATTTCTTAGAGACAGGTAACTTTGACTTCCTGCTCTCCTCTTCCAGTTGTTTCATATAGATTTTGGCCATTTCCTGGATCATAAGAAAAAGAAATTTGGCTACAAGAGAGAGCGAGTACCCTTTGTACTGACACAAGACTTCCTCATCGTCATCAGCAAGGGATCCCAGGAGTGTGCGAAGACCAAAGAGTTCGAGAGGTACAGCAGCATCTTACCTCTTCTTTTCTCTCATCATTGTTTCTTATCTTCTTTTTGATCTGCTACCTGCAACTAGTATCAGTCTGTTGGTTTGTTGGCATGACGACACCCAAAACGTCTTGGCTCTTTTTGTCCGATCATGAAATTCTGCCACAACCAGAGCTTTCTTACAGGTGTATTTTTCTTTAACTCGGTTAAACTGTGGAGCACATACAATTGCTTTTATTTTGGAAATACATTGGCATGACAGAGGGTTGAATTCATTTAGTCCATGTTTTTTTATCTTCAAGCAACACAGTGCCTTTTACTTCCCTCAGTTGGGTAAGTGTCCACTCAACTTACCCAACCGACTGACGCACGAGACACTCTTTTAGGACTCTGTGGTGATCATTTTACGTCACATAGCAATTGGCTAGCATCCTTCCTGTCTGGTTGGCAAGTTATACCAAGTTTGCAACATGAAGGCTGCGATTTGCAACATGAGATCATTTCCTCTGGCTTCAATTTAGAAAAATAAACTCTATACTTGTGACCCATGCACGAGGCCTGTAGGACCAGGCAGTTTGTGAACAACAAGCATTTGTGAATCAGCTTGCTGTCACCATTTGCGAGAACAACAAGCTTCATTTATACTTTCTTTTTTCTCTTGTTAATGTTCCTGTGACTTCCCTGCACTGAAGCCACTAAACACACTGCATACAATTTGACTTTTTGTTTCTCTTTCTCCCTTTTCCGTCTGCCTCCAGGTTCCAGGAGATGTGTTATAAAGCCTACCTGGCCATCCGCCAGCATGCTAACCTCTTCATCAACCTGTTCTCCATGATGCTGGGCTCTGGCATGCCTGAGCTGCAGTCATTTGATGACATTGCCTACATCAGGAAGACGCTGGCCCTGGAGAAAAGCGAACAGGTAATAAGGCTTTTCTCACTGTTCATTTCTGTTCTGTTCTGATCTTAATTCAGGGTCTTTAAATAGTCTCGCATTTGGCTTTCTGAATCTTTTATTTTTTTCTGCTCTGTGCAGGAGGCTTTGGACTACTTCATGAAACAGATGAACGACGCTCACCATGGAGGGTGGACCACCAAGATGGACTGGATATTCCACACGATTAGACAGCATGCACTAAACTGATCTATCATCAGTCCCACCGTGGAGTGTTTGCCTCCGTCAGCCAGCTGTTCAAGCTCGAATCACGCATCAGTCTTTCAAGAAATTTCAGTTCTTCATTACAGCTGACACCACGAACATTTCACTGATGATGGAAGTTTGATTTATCTTTTAAACACCAGCATCATTTCTGTTTATTTAAACGAGGTTCCTCTTTTCATTATCTTGCCATTATCATCTTCCTTTTATGTGTGGTCCCGATGAAGCCTTCACACTTAACCCCTCTGCTTGTTCTGCGTCTACACAAGAGTCCTCACGGCCTGGTGAAGGTGTGCCCTACCTGGTGATGCTTGTATCCTTGGCTACTGTGCGTCCCCTGGGTAACCAAGGAAATTTCACTCCTTACCCAGCTGCTCTTGCAGGAAAAAAACACAAAAGTGGACAAATCAGTGTAAAGAAGATGTACCTGCCAGTCTATAAATGTAGCCACAAAGTAAGTTCAACTTGTTGCCCTTCTGCTGTATTAGTGCTGCACTGTGGCTCCATCCCAGAAAGGAGGTGCTTGGGAAACTTTTGTTTTTTTTAATCTCATTGCTGAGGAGATAGCGGACACAAGGAACTGTCTAAATTATCTTACATAATATAGTGTTACTCAAATTTGTTTGCGTACAGTGCAGGATTACTGGAGTGTGTGGGCTTCTATGATGACTACCACTGCACAGTCTTGTCGTTCTCAGCTGATTTGGTGTCAGCTTTTAACTGTTTCTGAGGAAATTTCAAAGCTCAAAAAACTGGGTTGTTTTGCACAGCTCTCCAGTCTCTCACGGCCTCAATGAAAAAGCACTCCACCACTTGGGAACATTTGTTGGTGGTGCTGCTTTAGACTCTTGCATAAACTTCAGGGTGATGATGCCTCTCCATCAAAAAAAACAGCACTTAGAAATACCAGAATAATATACAGATTTATTATGACTTTTTAAATTTATTTATGTATCTAGTTTCTTTCAGTTTCTACACAGGCAAAACCCTAACTCGACTCTCCAGAAACACACCACATTCTTTGTGTAAATATATTTTTTGTAATTTGTGTTCCTTCCTCTGACCACGAGTGCAACACCTTTCCCCTTACTTTGTCGAGTTTTGCTCTTATTCGTGAATGAAGACTTCTGATTACTTTTTTTTTTTTTTGCCTCCGTCACTTTTAAGTTAAACATCTCATTTGACTTTATCGGTAGTTATTGTGGCCCTATGTGGAATTTTAAAGACTAATTTGTTTGGAAATGCAAAATGGCAAGAGTCAAAGTGCCAGTCTCACATTTTATGAATAATGGGACCTATTTTAAGCCTCTGGCTTACTGTTTTGACGGTGAGCAGAGGCCCAGGGGAACGTCACGTCTTCCTGTTGATAAAATGCCTTGGCGTCACAGCACAACACTCCACAACACTGCTAAGCCCTCCAAAGTTGGATTAAGCAAACAATCAGCACTATTAACATGAAAAGCATGCTAGCTTCGACCTTCTTTGTGTATTTTTTGTATTTTTAACCATGTTAGGTTGGTGGTATTTAGCATGTGCCCCATTAGAATGTTTTAGATAGATAGACTCATGGACAAAGTGCATTTTAACTTGTGTTTATTGCACATTTGGTGGATATTTCTATTGTTTTACTGAGCCCATAACCCTGGCAGCATTTGAGCCATGCTTTATGTTGCCAGGCACCATTAAAGCCATGCTCTACACCTTTTTAAAAAGTAGTAAAAAGTCACAGTGGATATTAGTTATAGTGCCCTCAGTGAATCAAGTGAAACAGCGCACGTGGGTGAGATTAAGTAACAGGGATGATTTGAACAGATCGCTCAAAAGTAGGCAGGGCTTTGCAAATACAGAGTGATATGAGGCTGTAGAGGACTATTTTCTCCACCCTCTCCTGCTTTGTTTGGTCCTATGGATTAGACCTCAGCTACATTCTTTGGACCAACACCTCTGCTAGCTATGAGCCACTAGCTATCAGCCATGTGCTGTTTTTTATGAAGGGCGGGGATATCTAATCATCTCAATCTATTTCATTTTTACTAATCAGTTCTTCCAGGATTTTACTGTTTTGTTTTTTTTTTGATTATTGCAATCTAAAATCCCTGATTTCATCAAAAAATTGCGATGATGAAAAAGAGTTAGTCTTTTTTTAAGTTATAATTCATTTACAATGTAAGGCAACTTGTTCCAGTGAGAATAAAATAGCTATTTTTGCTGTTTCATGGCTCAATGTGCAGTGGAATGACAAAATTGCAATTGTTGAGATGGCGATCCTGGAGGGACTGATTAATTTGTGTATACGCCTCCAAGTTGATGACGATTCATCTAAGTTATTGGAATGTTTTAGAGAAAGTATGTATGTTTGTCTCACTGTGTCTTTAAAAGACACCAAAGCTGGCTGGTCTCCGGAGATATTGAGTCATTTTGGAATTTTCTCTAAAGTTATTGTTAAAACAGGCGTTTTTAATGATGAACACAGACGGCTTCGTCAGTTGAATTGAGAAATTCTTGCACTGTGTGTTTTGTTGAGGACAGAATGTAGTACTTCACGAGCCCTCACAATGTAGCTTGAAAGACATTTGGATGTGTGCATAGCTAAATTATTATCTTTATAACCCTTCAGTATAAAGCTCAATCTGCCAACGGAAGAAGAACAAAATCTGCACTTTGCCAGTTCAACTGTTGATTGTATAGAAAAGCCAAAGTTGTGGTCTGTTTTGATGTGGCGCACGTGTGTGAGCTCATATTATTGGAACATTAATGGCTGGAATGTATTTAATTGCTAATTGACCTTACGTGCACTCTTTTTCTTATGGTTTTGCATCTTCATGTTTCCTTTCTCATGTCGGGATGCAGTGCCACTAAACACACAGTAGGTTATCAGCAGAGAGCTCTCCTCTCCTTCACTGTTCCTTCTTTTCCTTAACGTGCCAAATCAGGCATTGCCGAGGCCTGTGAAAGCTAATGCTGGTGCATTTGCATCATGCAGTCAGGCATATCAGTTACAGACTTTAAAAAGAAAAGAAAGAAAAAGGTTGGGGGGTATGCACTTCAAAATTCTAGTTCTCAATGCCTTTTTGTCCAAAAGGACTCTGTAAGAAGAAAGTTAGCCTAGTATGCATGTTTCTCAAGCAGTGTAACCAGTATGTATGATGTACATTTTGAAGCAGCAGTATGTACGTACAGTATGTACAGTTCCAGTCAAACCTCTTTTTCTATGGGAGGCTTCATGTGTGACAAACCTGTAGTGTTGTTATCTTTAATATCTTTTCCCATGTGTTCTCCAGATGGATGTGCATTAATTGTCCTTCTGTACAGGTTGCAGAGCTTCATTGGCAGGCTCCAATGAAAACCCACATTATGTCTGTCTGTCTGTATGTATGTATGTATGTATGTATGTATGTATGTATGTGTGTACACGTACATGTGTCTGTGTGTGATGACACTTAACTGTTGAAGTGATGGTGTCTCTAAATGTTTTGTAAGCCTTTTTTCCCCCCACTGGCTGGTCTGTGCCAGAGAAGGAAAAACCAAAAACAATCAAAAAAAGTTTTTGCATTGTTTGTAAGGAAACAAACGAGAGGAAACAGAGAAACTTTTTTCATACATAAGTTGTAAACGTTTTACTTGAAATGTCACGAATCAGTACCACGGCTGTATTTTGTTGGTTTCAAGCTGAGATGGGGTGGTGCTGTGTCTGATTATGAGTGTGTGTGAGTGTGTATTTAACTGTACGTAAGCACCGAAGGTTGAAGCATAGTGTACAGGCTGTTTGATACTAGTAGTGAATGTTATTGATGCCGCAGTCCTGAATTTCCGAGCGAAGACTCGACTACTTCTTGAACTAATGAAGTTGTGCTCAACTTCACATTTCTAAGATCAGGTGCAGCGAGAACTATGACGAAGTATCTTACAGGATTTAATACGTTTTAATAATCTGAAATTCTCTAATCTGCCTCAAAATCATAAGAACGTCCAAGTGATGTGTCTCACGTGTTCTCAGCGCGTTCGTTAGTTCTCCAGGTCCCAAACTTTGGCACTGAATCGGTGCAGGAATTCTGCAATAATTGTTGCACTAGCGTTTCTTCCCTTACGTGAAAGGCTTTGATGGCATGTATGCTTTATCCCTTCTGGGTGTCTAAAAGCTCAACAATAAAAAAACACAAGCCCATATTTACAGATATGATATATATATCACAGGATCGGGGTAAACTGTCTATTTTTTGTTGCTAAGCCAGCTTGTCTAACTGCATGGATCAACACAATGCAGGAGGTTTCAGTACATAATCATTATACCTGCTATTCTACGAAGGTGAAGTTGAAAATGATCTCATTTAGGCGCCCTAAGTGTGCAAAGAAATACTGATAGATTTTCTGTGAAGTTTAACAGACTGTTCTCATTCACGCACTCTTCAGTTTGCCCGTGCAAATGCAATCATATCATTATGATGATTCCAAGACAAACGGTGGACAAATAATGCAATTCAATGCAATATCAGTGCGGTAAATTAGTACTTTTGTGAACTTTTTTAGCGTCTGTTATTAAAGAGTGTCGGACAACTCTCTACCTTCAAGGTGTTTCTGTTACTGTCCCTGTTTGTTCACCTGGCGGACAGGTGTAGGCGTACGGTGTCTGCCGCCTGTGTTAATGTGGTTTCCTGATATCAACAAATCAGGCCGCAGATCTTCATCTGTGTTCCTTTCTGTAAATCAGTTCAAATCATTGTGAAATCCACGCTCAGACTCTCCTTGTTTTAACACAAATTATGTTTCTAAAAAGCCTTGAATGAATGTTTTCAAATCAGAATTGGATCAAGGAGCAAATATGACGAAATATTTCGATTTATTTGGTTATTTTTGAGGCTTCTGAAATGTCCCAAACTCAATTTATAGAGAAGTATAGACTAAATGGTCTGGTTTCATGTTCTTTTCTGTATGCAGTGCTCTAAACTACATTTTAGCGTGTCACTAATATATTTCCACAACATACCATGCTGTCAGCACTATACTATGAATGAATGTACAAAGGGCCAATGTATTGTTTTTCACAGCCTACCTGCATGAGATTGGGTAAAGAAATATTCTTCCTACATGTTTTTTTTGTTGTTGGTGTTTTTTTATTTAGTCTGCTAAGCAGCCATACAGATGTTTTTAAATGAATGCCTTAAGTTTGCTCCCTGTAGGAACAGTTTTTATGAGTTCACCCTCACAATAACCTGCGTTTGTATTATTTATAAATGTATATCGTGTTTCGTTTTTTGGGTCCCTGGTCACAAGAGTAAAGGTTTCTGACTGACTGGTCATCTGAGTGTTCTGTGAAGATGTACAAATAAATTTGTTAAACATTCACCCGGCCGTGTTTTGGACCGTCCCTTATTGCAGTTTGACTGTACAGCATAGCTCTTTACAAAATCTTAATTTATTGAGCAATATAATGTGTAATTGACCATTATAGCATTTTGAAAAAGTTTAAATTCTTTATTTTGTTTTATTTCCTGTGTATCTGTTCAAAAAGTGGATTCCTGAAAAGGGAATTTATTTTCCTGGAGAAGACCGTCTACCAATGTCACAGGAAAAGAGCGTAGCGTAGTTTTAAAAACTATTTCACACATTTGTTCCATTTGTTTCAGCCCAACTGGATCAATGAATCTGATTGTTTATTCCTTAAAAAAAAAAAAACACATCAGCAAGACCGGAAAGATCATTTGGGTTAATGAAAGTGACGTTGTTAAGGGAAGTCATGGGACACCATGTCAGGAGGAAACACAGTGTGATCTTCTGATGAAACAGAGCTGAATATTGTTTGTCCATGTGGAAGTAGGTGATTACGGGAACTGTTCACACAAAGGGACACATTGAAAAGAATTATTAATGAGCTGCATTTAAACTCACATAAAACCAGCACACGGAACAAAGCTTTTTTTTTATTTTCTTGCAGATTTTTCCCTTTGAGAATGATTTTTCAGTGTACTTTTATCTATTTTCGCACATTAATGGACACTGAGGCCACTCATTACTTTGATTTACTCAAAGCAAACTGACCAGCAATTAATATGGTAACAGTATAGAGCTCTGTCATCGTTTCAGTCCTTCTCTTCAGTGCTTTCTGAGTAGATACAGAGTCAAAAATACGGGTTGCTCTCTCTTTTTCCCCTCCAACGTGGTTATTTTATTAACTTAACCCTTTTGCTTTTATATAGTTTTAAATCTGCATAACAACTCTCAAACATGTTCCTTCACATATATAATAGAGGACTAGTCTACAAAATAAAAACAAATCTTTGGGAGAGGGTGACAAGTGAGATTATTTTGAATATTAATGTGGTTCCATTAAGGAAAGGTTTATCCCAACAGGTCTGCATCACTGAAGCCCACATCCGCTGAGGGCTGTGGGGAGGCTGCCTCTACGGTGGCCATCGTAGGAGCGGCAGGCGTGTCTAGACGGTTTGGATTGAAAGGTTTCCAGGGCTTGGACGGGCAGTGGAAGGGGCTGTCGTTCACAGCGTCTGCGGCCACATCAGGGGAGGCGGACGCTTTGGTGGTGGTGGAGTCCTCCTCAGAAGATTGTTCTTTGGCTGTCGCTTTGGTTGGGGTTGATGTGGTGGTGGTGGCGGCAACGTCATACAGAAGGTTCCTGAGTGGAGACCAGCCAGGAGGACGGCGCCTGATGAACGTCTATAGAAAACAATACAGATTGTTTGATTTTTTATTTTAGAGTGAAGTCTTGTGTAGCCTTCCTTGTAGGATTACAACAAAAAATATATTATCAGGACATCTGATCGGTCCTTTTTTTTTCCAATTTCTATGCAAAATTGTTCCAACATAATCCTTTTGTAGCATTCTGTAACACCTTCCTTGTACATAATTTCAATTTCCTAACTCAAAGCACTATCTATTCATTTATTTTATCCTTCTTGATACTTTATTTCATTGTGTATTTTTACTCCGAGCTGACCCTTCAGCATGTTGGCTTTTGTTTGGAACATGAGTTAATGTCTGCATTTAACTTTCAACATATTATAGCTATCCAACATTTTAGCAAAATAAAGTCCTTCAAAGCTACTCTCAGCTATTGAGTCTTCACTCCAAGCATGGACTATTACAGAAAATGGAGTAAAACCTTTTGCATTGGCATTAAAGTCAGAGAAAGAGGCCCATGATGGGAAAGTAAGCGACTGGCTAAGAGAGGTGGTCTGAAGACCCAGATATTAAAGGAGACTTATGCTCGATTCCAGCTCTATATTCTTAATCTGAGACATTAGCGTAGATCTGCATGATTCACTCTTTAAAAATCATCCTTATTTATCTCATGCAGCCCCTCAGTTTATCCTGTCTGAAAAAAGCCCTATCTCACAATCACTGAACACAAAAGCAAACAACTTGTATAACTTTATTCTCTGATTTTGGTGAAACCGGATAATATTTTATTGGATAAAATATTTTATGGATTTCCCTGTCCCATGATGTCTCTGCCTTCGCCATCCTGTTAGGTGACTCTGGCTGAACTATGAGCTCTGAGCATCTCTGGTACAGGAGCTATGGACTGCCAGGAGTCCCAGTGCTCTCAGTTCATTAGCATCAACTAGTGGTTAACTAATAGCTACAAATAAATGTCAGGGAATCCCAGAAAGTTGAGGCAAAGAAGTCACAGGACATCAGAGGAAAAACCTGAAAATATGTTACTTTCCCTCAAAACTTTCTGCATAGGAAATTTAAACCTCTTTTTGACTCCTGGGCAGAGCAGTCAGATAACAGACTGAGTGGGTCCCTGTACATTGTGGGTGAGCTCAGCCGTTCTCCGGAGCAGATAACCATATAAAGAAATCTGTGATAAGCCTGCATCGGCTAGTCAAGTAAAGTTAAAAAAAGACCCACATCGGTCACAGATGACGAGTGTTGCTGGAGTTTAGATCTCTTCAGACTGTATTTCTAAAAAGGGCTAAATGCTGAAAAGTGTCTCTCACCTCGGGCAGTGCCCCTGGTGCACACTCCATCTGGGCCTCTGGGGGCTCAAGTCTCCACGGTGCTATATCCACTGTAGAGTTACAGTTGGCAAACTCCTGCACACACAAATACACACAGAGAGAGAGACACATCAGAGGGCGATACTACGAACGGAGGTGATTGGCTTATCCAGGCAACTTCAGGAATAACTCTGTGACCTCAGGTGTAACCAGAGGGTGCAATTATATACTATATATACACATAACTCGTACTACAAAAGATTAGATTAATCCATTCTTTAAAATCCTCATATCCTGATAGTATCATTGTACATCCTTCTGGGCACGAGCTATTATGAAAAAACTCTTCCTGCGCTGCTGAACACGCCTTTTTGTGTGAACGCACACAACCTCAGATTACGGTGATACACACTCAACTAACTAACATCTTAATCACTGTCATAGTACCATTTAATACCACTGTAGGCAATCAGAGTTTGTCAACCTGGACTTTCCTCAATAACCCAGAGTTAAATCTGAGTAGGTTCAACTCCCTTCGCAGTACAGCCCTCAGGTCAATAAGCCTGAAAAAGATCACATTATGTCAGTGGTAATATGTGTTTTGCTTTCATGTTTACCACATTATTTTTATCAGGGACACACAGCTCGTTCAGGTCTTTGTGTTCATCCTTGGCGCAAGTGGTCTTTCTCATATCAAATCTCAGCTTGAACCTGAAGCCCGCGACCACCTGCAGGCACACACACAGCAGAGAAAGAAGTGTAGTAAGTTTTCTCTACCTGACATTCCTCCCACTTCCTCTCCCTTCATATCACCCAGTCTCTACCTGTCTGGTGGCGTGGCTGATACTGTGCAGGGTGAACAGGTGAGTAGAGTCAGAGATGGAGTTATACTTCGCGATAGAGACAGAAAGAGGACTCCTAAGGTCCTCTGAGTTGTCATCAATCTCTACGGGACAGCCCAGACATTGAACTTTCTCTGAAACAATGTGATCATCTGGAGAGGAGAAAGATTAGAAAAAGAAAGAATGAAGTAGAGATAAAGTAAGAAATGTTAGAAATTAGCTTTATTCCACACAGGAAATATACTAAATAAACTAAAGTTACAGGAACTATTGAAGAAAACACTGGCCCTCATTTCCCATCACTGCTACTGCATGATACTGTTACCTTTGTTGCTAGGATACCGATTAACACAGATTTATTAAGTACTTTCCATTAAGAGATAACTAAAACATTATAAACTGACACAAATAGCACTTGAGATTCAAATAAATGTTATGATGAGAGACAATAAAGGAGGTTAAAACCAGCACAATCATATCAATTAAAATCAATATATGAATGAATTAAATAAAGTCACATTGCCAATTTTCCTCTGAGTAGTGATTTCTACTAGATTAACAAAGGATTAGATGAATGTGCATAAAAGAACATACAATTGTTCAAATTCTGCAATAAAATGTGGCCCAAGTCAACCTACAAGAAAATAACTTTAATTGTATTTTTGTTTGCAACCTAATAGACTGTAGAAACTGAAGCTTATAGATTTTTTAAGTAGACATGCAAAGAACTGTCTTACAATAATCCACAATGCTGATTGATAAAGGCAGGATATAACTTTTCTGTATCATGACATGTAAAGAATGTTTCTCAGTAGGCTTGTTTTTTTTATCCAGAGTCCACTGACCGCCAATGACCTCTTACTTCTTTTGATTGAGGCAACCACATTGTGTAGCTGATTGGGAGAAGGTGTCTTTCTTGCTTTAGGGGTCTTTAGGGGTACAGCTTTTTTCACATGCAGTAGTTTTCCCCTGGACAGACTTTGATGTGTAAAACCGGTGTAGTTCCTCTTTAACTTTAGAAATCTGTTGCTTATCCAATTATTAATTTGCAGATATGTTTAAAGCAGTCAGCAGGCGCGACTGAAATGTAAAAACCAGTATCATCAGCGTATGTGTGACAATTGATGTTTTAATGTTGTCAAATAATATTAGGACTATACATTTATTGATATATATTAAACTTTAATTTAATTGTCCAAGCGGAGACTTAAAACGTTGCAAAACATTTTGGATAGAGAAAGCATAGAATCTATTTACTGTGAGCTGGTTAGGCAAACAGATTAAAGTCTAAACTGTCACTGCCTTTTATGGTGTGATAAGTTAATATCGTGCTTTCCCTATCTGTTGATATATTACACAATCAGCCCCCCCTCTGTTTCCCCTGCACCCACCAGTTCACATTTTCCTCAATGACTCACTGTTTTATTAATGAGAAATATGCTCTCCTCTGATAAACAGAGTTATGGTGGACTAAATCAATACACTGGAGATGCTTGGAAGATCTAAAAAACAGTTTTTTCTTTTATCGGATTAGATTTGAAAATTCCCCCATTAGAGGCTTCACGTGATAAGAGAAGTAAGACACTGATTCAGTGGTTAATGTCGTACAAGAGTTCCCAATTTTTAAAAGTTTTTAAAAATAATTTTGCTTATTGAGAATATTTTTAAAGAATTTTCATTTTAAATTCTGTTTTTGGTAAAGCATCACTTGTCCCTTAAGAGTCCCAAAGCATTTCACAGAGCAGAAAACATGAGATGAGCCAAGCAAAAGGCTTTCTCTTGAGACTTTCTGACATTTTGGTAATATTTTGCTGCTTTAGATGATAAGATTAATGCAACACTGATGTCTTAATATAAAGCAAAGGAGGCAAGAATTGGGTTGGGCTTGGAACAGTTGCCAGGCAACCAGCAGACACTCCAGGAAGTAAAACCACAACTTGATGTTTATACACTTTAGTTTTAAGCAAGATATAAAGTGCTAATTAGTTAGCTTTAGAGCAGCCAATAGAGCCAGGCTAGCTGTTTCCCTTTGTTTCTAGTCTTTATGCTAAGCTAAGCTAACTGTCTGCTGGCTTCATCCCACAGACATAAGAGCGGTATCAATCTTCTCATCTGGCACCCTGCAAAAAATGCTCAAAGAAAATATTTCTTTGAGAAAAATGTTTCACTGCACTTGCAGCTAATTCTGTATGTTATATGTATTAAAAAAACAACCACCTGATTCTGGGTTTATTCACCAAAATTCATTCATTCACTCACCGAGCTGGCAATCCACCTGTCTAGTGTCTGCTTCAGTCTCTGTCATGTAGACCGTGGCATTGCATGACATCGGCTTCTGGAGGAATAAACAGGATAATCATATCAGGATTATGATTTGTGTTAATTATGCTGTATAATCCAAACCTGTACATCAATTATTGCAACTTTAAGCAACACAATCTCCTCCAGTGTCTCACAGGGTGTATGTACACAGGAAATCTGCAGCTTTGTTTAGTATTTAAATAAGGGATTATACTTTTTGTCTCCACAGACATGTATGGAGGACAGTTTGATCTTGTGATTATTACCCTGCGTATGGGCAGATAGTCGCAGTCTGTCCAGGGTTTGTTGCTCCCAGCTGGACAGTCACTCCTCCTGCTGGTAAACTGCAGTGAGTACACCGAGTCTGAGCCATTCTCCGACTGTAGACACAGACACACACACAGTCAATGTGTAACAGAGGTCAAAGTAAACATGTTTTCTTAGAATTTCTTGGTGAACATCCCACAGCTTTAGTTCCTCTTGTTTCATCACCCGTTTCTGTTCTGAAATGACATCTGACTATTTAGCACTGAAAGAATTTAGTTTTGAATTATAGATAAACTAATACTGATGACTTTTAAAATACTGGCACATTAAATTTATGTTATTTCAGATGAAAAAATACTGTGTTGTTCTTTTTATGCACACTTTTGTGCAGTATATTTGTCTCAGAGGTACTATATTACTGTTATTGTATTTAATTAAATTAATTAATTAAGCTGTTATGCTATCTTTTATTATGTTAATTACTCACCTTTACTTGTTGTCTTATTTAATTAACTATTAATTATAAAAATTAAAAGGTGCTATTATTATTATTATTATTGAGGCTTTACAGACAAAACATACGACAACCTCATAAAGTTGTATGTATTGACGTAGTATAAATATATGTTTATCATATTTTATATGAGCAGTATTGAGCAGCCAAGAATCAAAATGTTTATTTTTTTGTACAGAATATTTGAGGCTCCTTTGATTGATGATACTTCCATCAAAGGGAACCTGACTAACTACCTGACAGAGAAAAGAAACTCTGTAGTACTGGATACTTTCTGTCATATATTAGTTCCCCTTTTACAGGTACGACAATGGGTGTGTATGAGTGGTTAAACAATGCAACAATAAAGCAGGTCAGGTGAATATGCTTTATGGAACCACTGTACCTTGCTGGCTGTCAGTATCTGAAACAGGGCCAGCTTGTGTCCGGTGGTCACCTTCTCATTGAACTTGTGCACAGCGCTGTTGACCGCCTTCTGAACAGAGGGATCGTCGCAGAAGATCAGGACACCGGGCTGGACATCCACTGTCTCCTGGAGGAGGAGAATGATGATGAAAACAGAAGGAAATGCATTTCTGATGCACAAAATTGACTTTTCTCCAATCTTTACTTTCTTGTTTAATGCTAATGATCTTAATTTAACATATACAGCATATGACAAACAAACAAAGTACTTTTACTCAGATAAACGTGTGCTATTTGTATTTCCATGTTATGCTACTTTATATCTTTACCTTTCTTACATTTACCTGACAGCTTTAGTTACTAGTTAACATAAACATATGATAATCTCATGAATCTGATGCTTTGCTATAGATTAAAGTACCCAAACATAAATTAACTACAACATTAAAATACTTTTACATGTTAATATGTTGCATTAGTAATAAAGGGGAGGCAAGTTGTACATGGTACGTGTACCAGAGAGTGCAAGTATATATATATATATATATATTTGTATTTGTACACAGAAAAATATATTAATAATATAAAATATTACTGAATACTTCTTCGACCACTGTTATAAGCCATAGCAGTCCATAGTTCATCTGTTCTCATAGTGTAAACCAGCTTTAATGCCAAAAAAACAGTTAGAAGTTATTACTACTCCTCACCTGCCCAAAGACTGAGCTGTGGAGGCACAGCAGGCCCAACAAACACAGCCCCACTCCGCTCCTCATTGTCTGATCCTGATGGATGCTTGACTCCAATCTGCTGCAAAGACATTATATGGTAAATATCACCAGATTATGAAAACCTTCAGCCCCAGTTTATCAATAATAAATGCCCAAAATGACCTCCTAACCCTGGAAATATTTAGCTGGATCAATCTCAAATTTCTTATTTTGTGGCTGTAAATGGTCATTTCCATGCTTTACAAATAACAACATATATAACGTAATATAACGTAAAGAATTATTGATACAGCACTTACAGTTTCTGCAGGTGGAGGCCTGCCGTCGATCCTTCCGGGCTTGAAGCGTTAAAAACTTGACTCCTCTCCACACAGGGATAGACGACTGAGCGAAGTTCTCCTGAAACTGTAGGTGGGAATCCTGAGAAAGATGATGACACACTGATAGACACATACACAGAGGACAGGAGGGCAGAGAGGACACACACTCACATACACACACAATGCTCAAAATGCTCAGTAGGTTAAAGGAGAGTAAATGTTTGCTCTTTTATTTGCCCTCCTACCTGTCGAGTCAATACAACAGTCATTATCAGAGAGAGAAGAGAGCATGGAGATATGCTTTGTTCTTTAATTAGTGACTTTAAAAGAGCAAACACTCTCCTACCTCAACACACACATTCTCACAAATAAAATCCTCATAAAGTAGAGTTGTTTTTCACTGAGTGAGTGGTAGCAAAAAATCTTTAACTGTACGTGTTTAGGGGGCCACTGTGTGTGCGTGTAGGTGTGTGTTTTGTGTGTTTTAGCTGGTACTTTGTCCCTGTCGACCTTTATCCTATACCACTCTGATTTCTCTACTGCTCCTCTGTGAAATGAGGTGAAATGCGCTCAGATGTTGCACTCCATATAGATGTATCATACAGACATTGTGTTTGCTTTGTCTGTGTGCATTCACTGTACAGGATCCCACCCAATTCACCAAGTACAACAAGGTCAACTTACCTGCCAACTGATGACAACATGCCCAAATCTTCCCTGTGTGTACACCTAAGGAAACCTGTTTGTGATAGATACAAAGCAAGTCCCGTCCTTACATATATTTCTGAGACTGTAAAGAGATAATAATTGTGATTGTGTAAAAATATAGACAATAGCTGATTTTTGAGAGCATGATTCTGCCCTCTTGTGGTTACACATGCACCAAGAAAGCTACAAGTACAAACCCTTAGGGGTAAAATCTGAGGGAGCACGAGATGCAGGAAAGGAAAATAGCAGAAAACTGATTTATAGTACAGAAACTCATGCTTTAAAAAACATAATTTTCTGTAATGTTTGCTCTTTGACTCTTTAGAGCAGGGATCTCAAACTACCAGCATGGGGATCATCATATAATATAATCAAGCCTGTAAGATTAGTATGTTTTTAGTATTTTCTTTCTAGTTGTTTCAATTTAAACTACTTCTTCATGTACAATGAAAACAAAAGTCTATTTTAAAACATGTATTTCATTTGGCACAATATAATGGCTCAGTGGTTTCAGGCCACCATTCGTTGTTTGGCTGGGAACAACAAAGAAGATATAAAAACTGTTTAAACTGTTTGATGTAATGGAAATATTTTCAGAAGATTTCATTTACTTGTAGTACTTGAATGTTGAAGTGGCCCTCCTGTGAGAGGTAAACAGTGGCCCCAAGGTAAATTCAGTTTGAGACCTCTGGTTTATTTTTGGAAATAAGTTCATTGAGTTTCTTGCAGAGAGCTAGAGAGCTATCTGTCTGTTAAATATAAAGCTACAGCACATCCAGAAATTGCTTAGCTTAGCACACATTGAAACAGGGGAAAACAATTAGATTGGATCTGTTCAGTAACAAAAAAAATCCACCTTCCAGCAACTCTAAAGCTCACTAATTAACATGTTATTTCTTTCTTTTTAATGTGTTGGACTTTTTCATTGTCACTCTGGATGTAAACACTAATATACAACCTGTAAAAAAGTAGCCACTGCTATAAACACTTATAATATATAAACTCTAGTGAGAGGGGAGAACTGTCATACATAAACATATATTTATGCATAAACGGTATTTATCCATGCCAATAGTTTAGGTTTTATTTGTCCAGGTTTTCAGATATCTGTCTGAGATTTTTGCCCTCACCCCAACACAATGGGGCTCAATGGAATTTAATTTGTAAAATGTGACATTTAGGCATTTTTACAGCAATCTCTTTCTAAGAACATCATCCTTGTTACTCAGGATCCCTTCAGTGGAAAGTAGTACCAATGTTTCTGCATGGCTAGATTCAATTTCAGGTATGTTTTTCTGTAACTTGGGTGAACTGACCCTTGGAAGAAAAAAAAAGCGTGGACATAAGAGCTGAAGAGAGGGGGAAAGTAAGCAAAGTTTATTTATGATGCATGTTTCTTACAAAAGGTGGATTCAAGGTGCTGTACAGTTAAAAACAAGACAGCTCTAAAGATTAAAACAGCACAGTTCAAAGATAAAGCTACACACTTAACATTGAACAACAATAGAATTACAAATTACAAATTAAGATAAAAGAATATAAATAAATGAAAATGCTAAAATCACAATAATAGTAAAACCTTGGGTTTTAGAAACATTCAGGTAAAAGAGTTAGAGAATAACAGAGTTTTCGGCCTGGATTTAAAACCTGTAAAGGTTGTTGAGTTCCTATAAGGCCATCAGGGATTCGGCTCCAGCTCTGTGCTGCATAATGACTAAAGGCTGCTTCTCTGTTCACCACTAGAAAGTCCACTCCCCAAAGATCTAAGAGGTTTTGCAGGGTTATATAACTTAAGCATATCAGATATGTATTTAGGACTGACTCCAAGTATAGATTTATAAATAAGTAATACAACTTTAAAATCAGTTATGTAGCTTTCCGGCAACCAGTGTAGACATTTAAAAACTGGGGTGATATATATATATATATATACTGTTGACCCCTGATATGA